TTACTAATTAATTTTTATATAAGATTATATAAATTTGATTTATATAATAGATTTAATATCCAAGTAAAATTCTTATATTTTTTTAAATTAGAATAATAGTGATTAGACTAATAATTAATAATCTATTTAAAAAAATATAAGTATTTTTTTTCTTAGTATTATTTATATAAAGTATATTTTTTTTATATTATAATTATAATGCAAATTAAAATCTACTTAATATTATATTTATTTCATATTTTACTATATATAATCTGTATTGTAAAATTATAATATATATTTAATTATTTTATAATCTTATATATTGTAGAATTAATTTAGAAAAAGTACCACTACTAGTTTAACAATATATTAATTGTCGACGTGTTTTTAGATATACAACAAAAGCAAATCAAATAGTGATAGAAAGTTAGTATAAATATGCTATTGGTTATAATCAAAGAGTAAAAGAGTTTTTAAATAATAATCGAAAACTTAATCTTAATGTAGCAAAGACAATAGCTTATAAAGAATTTATTAATCACTTTTCATATATTTTAATAGATATATTAAAAAAAAAACTCAAAAAGCTTTTGTTATTTATAATTTATTTAAAGCAATTAGTTTTGAAAAAATAAAAAGAATTAAATCATATACTGCTAATCAAATAGCTAGTTTTCCAGCACACCATATTAAAATAGTTAAAAATTATAAAAATTATAAACAATAAATTATAAGTTATAATTTATAACTTTTAATTTATAATTTTTCTTAAATAAATTTTTTTTAAAATTATTTTTTTTATAAGACAAGTTTTAAAATAATAGCTTTTTATTATAATTTTTTTTTAAAACTAGCCTCTTTGAGGCTAAAATTTTTTATTCAAGAATATAGAATAAGAGATTTATCAAGGAGCTCTTATATTAGATGAGTATATACTAGCCACATATTTATTTTTGATATCTATTTTAAGTAGTTCTGCCTATTTGTTCTATACTAGATGCCTTACCTATAATCTAACTATGGGTATCACTAGGATATTTTTGTTATTTATTAATCAAGAAGTTCTGGATGCATACTACACTCTTAGAACTAATTTATCCTTGAAGCATTATTTGCTAGAGCTTTCTATATTCACAATTTGGCTAATCTAGACTTCAGTTGATATGCATGAGCTGAGGCCTACTACTTGTGCCCTAGATTCTATAGTTAAAATATTCTCTAGCTATTTTATTCTTATTAGTTTTATTATAATATTTTAACTAACTATAGTTTAATCACTACTAGTGAAAAATCAAAATTTTAACTAATTTTTATGATTTTGTGATGTTAAAATAGATAATATAAAATTTATATTATTATTATAGAATACACTGATTATTATACCAATAACACATAGGGTTAAATTACGAATTTTGGCCTAAATTAAGCTTAATTCAGACTGAGTTTTACATAACTTAATAATGATAAAAATATATTTATCATGTAAAATTTTCTGTTATCCTTTAATTTATTTGTGCTATAATTAACAAAAAAAACTATACTATCTTATATGCATTCAAGCTAATAATTTAATGTAAAATTTAAACAAATAATACTTTAACAGTTAATTTTCTATAAAGCTTTGCTTGGATCTATTATCCATTATATATTGAATTTAATAACAAAATCTGTTATATAGTATATTTGTTAACTTTCCTTATCTGACAAACTCATATGATCATGGTGCAGCAACTGATCATTATTTTTAGCACTTGATGTTGTATTACCGAATATTTGAATTTTGCCAAAATATTATGATATTTGAGTCAATATTATTCAGCAAAAATGTAATATTTGGGCTATATATATTTAAAATTCTCATAATTTGAGCAACAATATAATGCATGCAAACAATTAAATTCAAATACAAATTTTCAATACAATTGCATTTTTAAATTCTAAAAATTAAAAGTATAATTATTAAAAGTACTTTCTGTAAGAAGTTTTTCAATAAAATCTTTATTTTTTAAATTTGCTTTAACACCCTTATCCTTCTTTTTTTGACTATCTGTTTTAACACTCTTGACCTCATCCTTATGATAATCCTTTTCAGGAATATTTTGATCATGCTTAGCCAGTATATTACTTGATCCATCAGGAATTACTTCAAGATTGTTGAATACATTAATTAATGACACCTGGGAATCAGTCCGTTGAATATATGAACTTGCAAATGTAAAATCACCAATTATTAGAGCAACTTCATAAAAGGCTTTGAAATTATTATTGCTATCAGAGGTTTCATCACTATCATAGTTACTAGGAGCATCATTGCTATTGTCGTTATCAAAGATTTCATCGTCATTAGAGCTTTATAAAAAAAAAAACTATATTAGAAAAATATTCAAAATTAAAACTAATTAAATATATATAAATCTCACCTTTTGAGACCTGTTTTAACACATTAAAAAAACTGCTCAAACTCTTATTTTGCATCACAGATTTCAGACATTCATATGCTGCAAGTCTTATTTGAGACTTGTGCTTTGTAATCGATATCATGACCAAATCTGAGTAACCAAGCTCCTTTAGTAATTGAATGGCTGTTTTTCTTCCAGAATGGTTTGAAATATTGCAGGTTCCAATTTCAATTTCTGTAGTTTCACATATGACCTTAAAAAATTCTCACAATTTTTACTCACTTAGAGCAAATATGTAATACTATTGTTCACTGAATTCTACTAATATAAATATTAAGTTAGTAAACAGATATTTATGTTCACGAAAGAATAAGATCAGTAAATAAACAAAAAATATCTGAATTTAAAGTTATAGATTTTAAATAAAAATTTGTCACTGTCGTCATTGGGTGCTTAGTAAAATATAACTCATAATTATCAACGATGCTCTTTATTTTGGGTAAGCTGATAACTTCAGCCTGTGCATCATAGTTTTCAAGCCCTTGTTGATTAGTTTTAGATCTATACAATTTGACATCAATTTCACTATTATATCTCTTAATAAAATTGTTAATTTGCAAGAAATAATATTTATTACCATGTAATGCCAACAGCATTGTATTGTAAAAAAATATCTTTCTTAACAAGCCTTTTAGCATATTATATTGCATTATGGGGTGGTCCAAGATTTGCACAACCTCATCCATTGTAAGCTTATCAGCCCCAACATGTTCACCCAAGCCTCTTGCAGAGAGATCCTTCAATTTTCTATTAATTAATTGGCTTAAATCGAAATACACCTTTGGATTAAAATATGCCCACAGGCTTTTCCATAACTGAATACATATTGAGATGTCACCAAATTGCCACCAAACACTCCTTATAGAACTTGCATGATATTCCCCACCATCCTTTCTCTTTATTGCATATACGAACTTAGAGAGCTGGTCTTCTAACACCACTTTGGAAGTAATCTCTTTGAACTTTCCCTCATAACCAACATCTTAATGAAATTCTTTTAGGGCCCAGAACCACAATTGTGTTGCTTTGTAAGTGGTTTTAACCTTTGCATTATCTCAAATTGCCTTGAGGTCATTTGCAGAGGGCTTATATACTTAACTCGCTAATAAAACACTGTGTTAATATTGTTTTTTTCTGTGTAATAAAATAAACTGAAAAAAAACAAAAAATAATATTTTATTTACTTTCACATTACTAACTTTCCTTGTTGACTTCGTTTTCAGCATTGCTTTCAAGAATTTTATAGAGTTCAAATGGGCTTTGCGGCTTCAGGTAACTTTATGCTTTAACTAGGTTTTATCGTTACTGATTCAAGTGCTTTTACCATTACTGATTCAAGTGGCTTTTACTGTTACTAATTCAAGTAGCTTTTACCGTTACTGATTCAAGTGGCTTTTACAGCATTTATGGCTTTAATAAAAATTTTATAGCTTCATGGGATGACTATAGCCTTGGATTTGAACAACCACCTTGTAATTACGACAACCAGCTTTCAACAAAACTTCCAACATTCAACAAGACCACCAAATTCCACCAGCAAGACTTTCAACTGTCACCAACACGAATTCAACTTCACAACAAGAACACAAGAACTTAAAAAAAATCAAGGTATTTTTTTCGCTTAACAAAAAAAAATTATTTCACTTTTAATTTTTTTTACATGGGAAAAAAAATGATTTTTATACTGATCTGCTATCTTTTTTTTTAGGTCTAAAAGTATTTATAGGTCCCGGGTGGATCGGGCCATGATCATAAATTGTCGGATAACACCATTATTCGCCAATTTTTGTCGAATAATGAATACATAACTGGTCTAAGCACTATTCTAACCTTAATCGTATATATATTTAAGCACTCTTACTAAAATTCCTGTTCATTTACAATATGAAGTTGACGTTTCAGGTACATTCATTTTTTTTATATACACAAACAATATAACTTATAAACATGCATATAAATATTGATAAAATTAACCTGAAATTTTTATGATAAATGAGAAATTAAAAAGGAAAAGATTTTACTTAGACTTTACGAAAATAAGATATATTTAGAAATGGCGAGTTAAAACTTTGGTAAGGACGATCATTAGGTTACACATATAATTGATGTAACGGAAATCTATGCCAAAAATAGAAATAAAACAACGCGTTTTTTTTTTTACTGTAACACTTATTTCGGCTTACTAAGGTATAAATTCGATATGGATGTAGGTGGGAACGGGATTTAAGTGAATCTAAAATTTCTTAAATTAGTATTTCAGGGTGGAGTTTACTTTATATAAACCTTATATCCTAACCCTAAAACTTTTAAGCCATTACAATATACCTCTATTAGTTGTGTGCTAAATTAGTTAGATAATATCGCTTATATTTTTTAATTCTTTTGCGAATAAATAATAATAAATTTAGGACTGAATATACATAACGAGAAATTTATATAATTTTAATTCCAACTACATAATTACTGAATTAATTATATGTTTTACTTTTCGTAAGCAATGCAATTAATTCCAATTTCATCAATACAGTACCATAGTATTATATCAATATTGTAACATGATCACGAAATCACGGACACCGGGTAATGATCTGCTATTTGTTCAGTACTATAATTAACATGTAGATTTTTTCTACGATATGTATAACAAATACAAGATACTAGAATAAGTCCCACCAATCCTGAGATTATACCAATAATTCCACCAACAACACCAAAAATTTCACTAGGAGTGGTAATATATCTTGGAGTTGGAGTTGGAGTTGGAGAGCCACCACCTTGAGCAACATATGAAGTAGCCCATTTATAATTGTCTTTTTGACTTATATCAAGAAGAGAAATATTATTGCTATAGGTATTAAGATAAATGTTAGGATAGTAATTAGCATCATATCCTAAATTCAAAATTATTATTAGTTTTTAAATAAAAACTTTGCAACTTAAATCATAAATTCTTGTAATTTAGATTACCAAATGCAATAATAATATAATGATCAATTAATGTAGCAGTATGATAATATAAACCAGTTCTAAAGCCATCATTCAAATTCGTAAGATTTGCCCAATTAAAAGTCTTAATATTTAAGGAAGTTATTCGGCCTTGTGAATATCCACCTATCACCAAAATCAAGTCATGTTGAGCTAGACAAAAGATAAATGTTATGAATAGTCGCAAAATTAATAGAAATTTTCTATAATATTATACAAAATTATACGGTACGTATTAAAGTTGATGTGTGGCCATATTGAAGTGTTGGAATATCACCCAAAGTAGGCTGAAATATAATTAATATTATAGTGATTAAAATTTAGTTATCAAATAATTTAATTAATTTAGCAACCAGATGCTTAAAATTACAGCAATACTTACAATAGTTTTCCATGAGCTATTATATATATTGAATACTGGTATCTATTAAGAAGGTTTTTGTGAATTCTAATTAAAAAATTGTAATAATACAACTATTGAAACGAACCTGTGCCATTGAATTAACAATCGAAGTACTTCTATATAAATATCCACCAATATAAAGATAATCACCATTTGGTAGCAATGTTGCAGTGTACTCCGATAGTGGAGGAGATACAGTCGATAATGATAATGCTGAATATGTGTAACTTGAAATATCCAACATTATCATACTGCTTTCATTAAATGGATTAAAATAATAAATTTTATTGTTTGAAATAACACCTTGAACATAAGATACAGATGTTCTTGCTAAGGTTGTATTAATTCCAGAAAAATTCAATGCAACCCATTTTTCTGTTAAAGCATCAAATTTATCAACACTATTTGAACCAATGCCACCACTAAAAAAATAAATAGAATAATCATTAACTACAGAAGCACCATAAGTTCGGAATATACTTGGAACAAAAGAAAGATCAGTCCAATGCATTGATGAAGTATCAATTAAATTAAAAGATTTTGAAACGTCAAGATAAAAAAATCTGTAGCTATTTTCAGATCTGTCAATAGATCCGCCATAAAATAAAGCTTATCTTTAACTAAAACTGCACTGTGCCCGTATCTTCCAACTGGCAAAAAGGCATATATGTCATTTTCCAGATCAAAAATATAAAGGAAAAGAGTTAATAAAACAAGAATAATTCTTATTTTCATGCTAAAATTTAAAATTTCAGAAATAATTTCTTATGTTAGTGCCAAAATTAAAGATTTTAGGATTTTGTTGTGTCAAATACTATCATGAAATTTACGCCATTATTGTTGGACACGCGTCCCATTTTTATTATAATCTAGTTATAATTTAATAATGATATTAATAATAGCATCTTATAAGCATATATCTTGTGTAAGCAGAATTTTCCGTTACCTTACAATTCATTTATCGCGGTTTGCAAATTGATGCGACTTTTGATAAATTTGTAGATCGCTGCATGCTCGATTGTCCGATCGCAATCGATTGTACATAATTTTGCGATTTCTCAGTAACCATCTG